TTAATTATATTTTTTTCGGGAGGTTATCATGCAATATTGCTAGAATCATTTTGGCACTGTAAATCGTTCAGTGGTTACTTACTTGCAAATGTTTTAATCTCATTGATGTCCAATGCTCTTTTATAGACAAACAATCGGCTGAGGTATCCATACAAACTTTTCTTCTTTCGAAATTCAAAATTCATCTTGTTTGTGATACTGGCAATTGTCGTGAATGTCCAATATCTCTCTGTCAGACCGACAACGAAATGACACTGACGAGTGGAGACATTTACACTCAGGCCAACGTGCTGCCAAACATCATAGTCCATGCTGACGTATAAACAAATTGATAAGCGGTTAGAGACACTACATCAATAATTAATGAGACTAAAACAACCTAATCTTAAAAATAGTTAGCATTCCCAAAAAAATGGAAGAGGAAAAGGCGATATCATGTTCTGTAATGGTAAGTGGAATAAATAGCACACGTCAATTTTTGTGGCTAGTGTCTGGGGACGAGATACAAGCAACTCTGYTGTCGCTTTGTAGTYCGGCTGTAACTCGGGATAACTTTCTAACTATTCGTGACAGTTGGGCTTTCTTAGTAATTTCATCATTTCTATGGATTTTACACCTTTCTTTACGAATAATAGCCCCATMCCACTGTACACGTTTTAACATATTGGATTCATTCGGGGTTATTCCACGCTATACGCTTTCGACACCGCAGATATGTAACTATGCAAAACAGATTATAAAATGTAAAAAGGTTTGTCTTTAAAAACAATAGATAATCCTTTTTTGTGTTAAAATTATGAACAAGAGAAAGCTAAATAAAGTAAAAGAAAATGGAAAAAAGGAAAAAAAGGAAATAAGCAAACTTCTTGTTGAAAGCCTTTATACAGTTGCTTTTCAGTTTGCTGAGATTATTATAGTTGTCTTTCTGCTAAATATACAMAGAGTTCTACTACTATAAGAGCCATCTTTTTTGTCGCCATATCCCAGCTACACTGTTGTAGTCTTTCACGTATTTGAAAACGTTTTCAACTTTAACACGCTTTCGAGTCAGTTCTCTGTTAAAACGAGTGGCTCGACGTCGATCTCTCTGACCCAGTCCGCGAATTTGCGCTTGACGAAGTAAACGGTTGGACATCTGGGTAGCCTYTATCAGCTAGTAAAAAAGCATTTTCTGGGAAGTCTAGGGCTAAGCCAGGACCTATTGTTTCTATAAAACGAAACATTAGAGAATCGTGAGCACTRCCTAGGAAACCTGCCTGAAGATAACGTATATGTCCTTGATTGTCACAAATTAGCTGGGTATTTAGAAGTGGTAGTGTCTTTGTCCGTTGTAAAATTGTCTCTGTGGTTCTGTGAAAGGTATGCATATTTCGTGTGGAGTCACGTCGATACTGCATGACCCATACTGCYTAGAGCGTCTGGAAATTCGTTCCACGTATGTCGCATAACATTCCACTGTTGGACAGTTGGCCAGGATACCATTCTTGGAAAGTGCCTCAACAACACCAGAATTCCTTGATAAAGTAACGCCTGTATGATCTGAGGGCTGACGTCAAATAGTAGCGCAAGACTGTCAAGGTGAGGATATCTACGAATCCATATAAGAACAAGTAAAATTCTGTTCACCATGTTCAATTTATATCTACCGATGTGTCGACTAAGTTGCCCACGCCT